TCTCGGGATGTGCGGTTCTGGCTGACTGGCTGCTAGAGTGTGGCAGTGCCCTCTGCTCAGGAGCTGTGCAAGCTCTGCTGGTGGCTTCTCCGAGCTCTTCTGAACTATCTCGAGTAGAAACAGTAGCTCTTTTTGTGCCAAAAGTCTGTCTGTCTGTCTGTCTTGGGACGTGCTGCTACAGGTCCTTGTCCAGATGGGCTCCAGGATAAGATGGACTTTGGATCAAACATTTCTACTCTCCTCTGATCTTTGTCTTACAATACTCATCAGTCTCACTGCGTCTGAGTATCGCTTTCTTCAGAGGCTTAATTATTAGTCCGTGCATGGTTGCTTGGATCCAGAGGCATCTAGTGCAGTGGTTATCAGTGCTAGCTGCTCTTTCTTGGGATTTAAGGAGAAGTTTTACTCAGCTGACTGATCTGTGCTGTTACCCCGGGGAACGCTCACTGCTTCTGTTAAACATGCTCGGGTATTTAAAATGCTGTAATGGTCAACCCCAACGTAAAGGGAAGGGGGATGGATCTGGTACTTTATTAAGCCTGAAAGGATTAACAGTTCACATGGAATTTGGTTTATCTTGCCATCATAGTTTCCTAGAGGTAAATAATTATCCAATAAAACTTGATAGTCCGAAGAGAATCAGGAGTAGTTTGTAATAGAGGATTTATATTGAAGAACCTGTCTTGTTTAACTCAAGTGTCTGCTCCCTTCCTTTGGAGTTCTAACCTCTGTAACCATCTCGCTGTAAGTGCTTTATAAACGGACAATACTTCATGGAAGCCTTCATCGTATGTTCTAATTAGTTTAAGCAGTTAAAGCACGTGCTGGCTGCGGCCAGTGCTTGTACCGAGTGTCTTAACCGCAGAAGTCGGGCTCAGCCTGCGGTGAGCACGCCAGCCCTCCTGTGGGGACACGGGGCTCTGCGGGAGGCGATGCCGAAGCTCGTTCCACCCCCCCCGGTACCCCCGACCGCCGCCGCCGCCCCGAGCCCGCGCTGGGCCCCGCTTCCCCTCC